GCGCACCTCGCTGTCTTACCCTGAGCCAGAGAGCCCCAGGAGGAGAGGGAGGGAGGGGGCTGCTGATTTAAGTGTGCCTCCCCTCAGCGGGGAGCACCGTGGCAAAATCCAAAGGCTTCGCTTCCAGGGAGCGTGTTCTTCCCGCCAGGGCCTGCTTGTACTTCAACAAGCCCTTTTCCAGTTTGACGAACGACTGTCAGTCACGTGCACGTCGCCTCTCCAGAAGTCTCTTTACATCACAGGGTTTCTTCAAGGACTCCCTGAGTGATGTCTGGTACCTTGCAGGGTGTCCTTCCCGGTCTGATGGGGGATGCTAGTCGACCCGAGGCTCTTAATCTGTGGGACTGGAAGGAGCTCTCAGTTGGGAGAGATGCCTCGACTTCCCCCGAAGAGGGTCACCCATTCTCTCTCCTCAGCCTCTGAGCTTGATGGAAAAGTCCTTCTTGGCTGCACTGTTGTCTGCATCTAGCTCCTTGTGGAAACTCCCAGAAGGACAGCACCACCCTGTTTGGTGCTATGCTCCAGGGCTCTGAAAATAGAGCTGTTCATGAAGCCTCCTGCTTCCTCCCAGGACCTCACATCTGGGCCTTTGCTATCTCTCTCTCTATTCTCCAAGTAGACCAGCACCCGCCTGCTTTTGTGATTATGTATTCAAAGAGAAACACTTCTTTTTTTAATTTTTTTTTTTTCAGAGGGATGAAAAAAAACAGTAGTTAGAAGAGTCTGCCCGGATTTCTGTTTATTTGCCTGGGCTGGGGGAGTGGAGGGGCAGGGCAGTTGGAGGCGGAACGCAAGTCTTCCTCAGTGGGCCGGAGGGGTCAGCACTGTTCTCCCCCGTGGGGCAGTGCAGGAGATCGGCCCCACACATCAAACCCCAGTGTCCCTGGACTTCCGACCACAGCCTGAGGATTTGTGCATTTCCCGGGAAGCCTGAGAACAAATAACATCTTAATAATTTGGGGAAGTACCTGAGTAGGAAACTGTTTTCACTCCAGAAAGAGAGGATTTTAAAACTGTGCTTCTCTTCTTAATGAGACATCTCTGTCTTTGCATACACCCAAGCAGCTGAGGTCTAAGGATGTTTGTGAATAGTGGATCCTTAGGCAGACTTTGGAGTTGTTTAGTCTGGACGGCAGGAAAATAAATTTCATACAGTGAGACTGACTTTGTTAAAATGATGAGGAAGGGCTTCGACGCAGCGGTGCCTTTCCTCAGCTCAGTCGGTTAAGCCTCCAACTCTTGTTTCAGCTCAGATCATGATCTTAGGTCCGTGTCAAGCCCTGCAGTGGGCTCTGTGCTCAGTGTGGAGCCTGCTTGAGATTCTCTCTCCCTCCGTCCCTCTTACTCATGCTCTCTCTCTCTCTCTTTCTAAGATAAATAAATAAATCCATATATTAAAAAAAAAAAGAAGGTAGATTAAATTGGCAATTGGTATCAGCTCCTAATCTATTTTTTGGAATAATAGTTTCAGTAAAGCTAGTTTTAGTTCAAATATCCATTTTATAAAGCAATTTTCAATTAGTCCTATACCTCTATCCCCCATTTTTCTATACCCTATGACTTCAAGTACGTAGGTTCGAGTTACTTGGTGTTTTATAGAAATTTACCCCTCTGTAACATGGGGCTCCACTCTGCTTTGCTTAACAATTTATTTTTTTTCTCTTGAACATTTCTGAATATTCTCTCCCTTAGAGATTTTGTTACTTTTGGCGGAATAGTGACTTCCAAAAGCTCAAATAGAAAGAACAAAAGCCATCACAGATTGGATTTAACAAAATCCTATTTACTGAAATTGCCTGTATATGGAAGAAGCGAACACTGTTTGTACTTCTTCATTTGCTCTTATCAAGGCCACGTTCCCAGGGAACCCCTGGCTTTTCCTTCCAGGAGGGACTGCTTAATTGCCCATAAATTCTAAGCATTTTTATTCCCTTTTAAGAGTCTCAGGCACCTCTGTCTTTCCATGACTCTGCTGTTTACTCTCCCTGCTTTCTTTTTTTCTTCCCTTCCTTTCTTCCTTCCTATTTTAATTTTATTCAATACGGTTTTTTTAAAAATCAGGAATAGATGTTGAATTTTATTAAAGACCTTTTTAGCATTTACAGAAGTAATTATATGCTTTTTCTTCGGGTCTGTTAATATAGTGAATTTTATTAATGGATTTCCTTTTATAATGAACAACCCTAGGCTATGCTGTGTAATATTTTCTTAATTAGGATGTTAGATTCTGTTTGCTAATATTTTATTAGGATTTTTGCAGTATATTCTTTAAAAGATATTGGTCTGAAGTTGTGTGTATTTCTTCATCAGGTTTAGATATTAATATTGTTCTTGCATTATTAAAAGAACTTGGAATTTTCATTTGTTTCTCCTACACCCTGGAGAACAAGCTACATAGCATTGGAATTATCTAGTCTATTAAGAAAGATGTTAGAATTCCCCTGTGAAACCATCTGGGCCTATTTTCTTTTCCCTCTTTCTTCATTTCTTCCTTGGTAATTGTTCTGCTCAAGTTTTATATCTCTCCTGAAGTCAGTTTTGCTAACATGCATCTTCCTAGGAAATCCTCCATTTTTTTTTTCTTTTTAAAGATTTTATTTATTTATTCAACAGAGAGAGAGATCACAAGTAGGCAGAGAGGCAGGCAGAGAGAGAGGAGGAAGCAGGCTCCCTGCTGAGCAGAGAGCCCAATGCGGGGCTTGATCCCAGGACCCTGGGACCATGACCTGAGCTGAAGGCAGAGGCTTTAACCCACTGAGCCACCCAGGCGCCCGGAAATCCTCCATTATATCCAGTTCTCAAATTTATTTTTCATTGAGTTGTGCAAAGTAATTCAATAATTTCTTCCACGTCAATCATATTCCCTTCATCCTTGGCAATTCTTATTTTATATATCGTGTTGTCTTGATAGATAAATAAAGGGTTGCTTTGTTGATTTTCCTCAAAAAGAGCAAAATTTTAGAGATTTTGGTGGGAAGATAAGTGAAATAGGTGAAGGGGATTAAAAGTACACATATCACAGTGAGCACCGAACAGAGTATTGTTGAAACACAATATTATATACCTGAAACTAATACAACATTGTATGTTAATTATACTGGAGTTTACAAAAATAAAAGTTTTTTTTAAAAAGCAAAATTTTAATTTATTAGTTCTATCCTTTTTCTGTTTTATGCTTCTGGACTGTCTTCCTTTATTATTTATTTCTTTATGCTTGTTTGCTTTGTTGCTTTTTTCTAGCTTCCTCGCAGGAAGTCAACCCACTTGTATGAACTGATGGCTGTAAAACTGAATTTTTCTGTGAACATTGCTTTAACTGTGTCTAAAAATTCCGACACGTAGTGTTTTCATGGTTCATTTTTTAGAATTTCTGAAATTGATTGGTACTTGTTCTTTCACTCGATAGTTGTTGAATAGAGAATTCTTAGTGGAATTTTTTGGTTTTTTATTACCAATTTCTGATTTTATGGCTTTATTATCGCAGAATGTTGTTTATATTCTTTCAGTTTTGTGGAGGCTTTCCGTGTAGTACAACTGTTGGTCAGTTGTTGAGAACGTTCCACACGCACAGGAGAGGAGAGCATGTTCTCTCTCGTTGTGTTCTATAGATCCCCTGTCTATTTACTTCCTACCGTTTGCACCATCTTCCCTGAAAGTGGTATGGTCTGCAGCTCTTCGTCTTGGGGTTATAAGTTCGAGCCCCGCGCTGGGTGGTAGAGATTACTTAAAAAAATAATATCCTAAAAAAAAAAAAAAAGTGGTATGCTAGCATCTCTTGTTATTGGTGTTTCTGTTTCTCCTTGCAATTTCCATCCTTTCCATTATATCAAGCATGGGCAAACTACAGCCTGTAGATCCATTGTTTATTCCTGTAAATGAAGCTTTATTGGCCTATGGCAATGCGTATTTATTTACATATTGTTTGTGGCCGCTTTCCTGCTACAAAGGCAGATTGAAGTAGTTGTAACAGAGAGTGTATGGCCTGTGAGCTTGAAGTATTTACTGTCTTGCTCTTAAAGAAAATTTGTCAACCCCTGTACTCTGTGAAGTTACATGGATGTTCATATTTATTGTATCTTTGATGTCAATTGTATCCTTTAGCATTATGAAGTAGCTTTCTTTGTCATGGCCAGAATTCCACCTAATCTAATGTCAGGATTTTAACTCTCGCTTTCTTTCTCCTTTCCAGTTGACTTATATAGCTTCCTTTTTTAGATATTCTGAATAACTTTTAGTCATGTATTTTATATACAGCATGGGTTTGTTTTGCAATAAAACTTGAAAGTATTTTTGTTCTAATAAGTGAGTTAAGCTCTTATACGTGGATCAATTTGTTAAACATTTAACGTAAAAACAAGTTTTGTATACATTATTTGAAGACTTTTGAAGGTACTCTAGTTTGTGTAAGTAATGGTAACATTAATCCAAAACAGTAATGATAACTTAGATTTTTGTGTTTTATTTTGGAAACTGTTTCTTTCCCCTGGAGTGTGTGTGATTAGCAGTACCATAGATTAACTGTAATTAGTAGATTACCATACCACTGATTAGCAGTTGTATGGTGATCTGCAAACAAACTTGAAAAGAAAATGCCACAGAATTATTGCTTAAATTGATGGTACTTGTCACAGAAATTAAAAGGCAGAGTTTACATCTTGGGTAGCTAAAAATTAAGCCAAGTAGAAAAATTTCCAAAAAAGATTTGTTAACTTGCTCTTAATTCATTTTCTGCTTATGCAGTTTTAGTGCAAACACTTATTGATTCTGCTATTTGCTGAGCCCTGTTTTAAGGACCTAATGACACAAAAATGATTCTAAGCAATATCTCTCACTTCAGGAATCTGTTGTCTAATATGGACCATGAGGAACGTCATTTTCATACATACTTTTTTTCCCTCTTAGAACTGGCCATTTTCCTTTCAATTAGTCTGGGATCTTTGGGATTTCTCCCCTCTTTCTTTGGATGGCAACTGAGCTATATTGTACTTTCTCTCATGCAGGGCAGCCACAGACCACAATGTGGATAATACAACAGAAATACTCAGAGAGTGGTTGAAAAATGTACAGAGATTCTATCACTATGTGGAGTGGAGGCCTATGGATGAACCAGAGTGAGTAGAAAGACCACCTTTTGGGAACTTTATTTATCCCACTTCCCTTTACCAGTTTTCCAGTCATTCAAGTGTCTAATCTTCAAGGCCCTTATGACTTCTTGGTTATCTCTGTATCTAGTGAGTTACAAGGGCCTTCCATTTCTCCCTTTGACAGATCTTCATATTACTCCCGCAGCCACCACCCAAGTTCAGGTACTCCTTAGTTCACAAATAAATTGCCACAGGATATATTTTAAAATATTGATATTATTTCCTCTTATTTTGTGTATGTCTTGATATTTGCTAGATCATAGTGAAAAGTTTGCATATTTTTTTATATACCATGTTATTTTACTTATCATATTTTTATCATCATCCCATAGCAATAATTTAGGGGTTTCTTCATTATTTTTATGACTGCATAGTATCCATTATATGGATGTACCATAATGATAATGAGTAGTCAGTCCCCTACTGATGGGCATTTAGGTCACTTCTTCCTTTAACCATAGCAATTTCTTGGTTGTTTCCATCCTCAAGATCCTCCTACATATCCTACTGTCAAATCAACTTACCTACAACACTAATGACGTGATTCAATTTCTCTGTTAAAAGGACTCCAGTGGCTCTCCAGTACCCACAGAATAGAGTTCAAATTCTTCAGACTTACACTTTTTAAAGATTCCATGAACTTAACACCAACAGCGGTGCACCCATATCTCTTGCTTCTTCCCAAAAGAAAACTGCTTTGTCTAGAATGTTCCTTTTATTTTCAACCCCAAGCTGTTACCCATGCAAGTTTGTTCTCCAGGAAAGCCCTTTCTTTCTGTCTTTGTAACCAGCTCTTATGCCAAACACCACCTACTACAGAAAACTCTTCCTAATCATTCCAGCTAAAAAGATCTACCTTTCTCTCAATACTTGTATTGTTTATTTCCTACATCATCTTTTTGACACAGCAATACATGCAACTAACTTTGTTAATTAACTGTGTAATTTATGTATTTCTTCGAAGTGATTTTTGGGTTCTTTGGCAGAGGTTACAGTATATAAATACTTCATATTTTTCCCCAGTGCTATGTTCTTGGCAGCCACTAAATTAATACTTGTTGGATAAGCAAATGAGCAAATGACAACATGAATAAGTGTATTTGAAACCAACTATTGTAAATGTTCCCAAGGCTACTGCAATTCTAGCTTAAGAAATTGTAGAAGTAGAATAAATTGAGTTGCTTGAATTTTTGCCCAGGATAAATCATTTGCTGAAAGCCAAATTTGTATAATAATAATAATAATAATAATAATAATAAATGCCATTCCAGAACAGATTTTTTTAGTCTTTCTATATGTAATAGTTTTATTATATATGTATACACATATTTTTCAAATCCCAGCATATGGTCCATAGACCAAACAAAATTTACCAATGAAATTTGAACACTATAAAATATTTTGAATGCTTTTTTAGAGTTTCTTATAATGGAATTTGGCCTAACTAGAACAGCCAAAAAGACTATGTAACTACCTTGCACCCTGGTAATTTTCTCTATTCCCCAGATCCTGACTAAATATATTGAATGTCAAGGTCAGTGTGAAAAATATTAGTGAAGGCATTTTGGGGGTAATATATTGAGAAAAACAGGACTCCACTGATTTTCAATGAAGCAATAATTGGAAAGATATCTTGGGCCCTGTACAGGACATAGTTTTGTTAATATGATTTATATAATTATGTTTTCATGATTACATAGGTATGTATAGTTGGCATATTGTTTATTTCCTACAGCTAGAGCAGCTAGAACTTGAAATGATAGCTACTGTGACAGTATCAACACCCACACCAGTTGGAAGTTTTCCAAAGGGTTCTTGAGGGTGTGCCAAACCCACTTACTAACATGGCCATGTGAGAGTTCTGCCCTGGCTGTTTTGTAGGTGTTGATAGAGATTCCAATGATATTATGCATCTGCTCCATGATCTCACTCTCCTGGATAAGTCAGTCTGTTACGCTCTGTGGAGTCCTTTACTGATACTTGATCAAGTAATTTTAACTTTGTTTTTTTCTGGGAAATTCATCTTTTTATGCTGCAAAATCTTTAGATTTATTTGATGGCAGAATATTTTAAAAAGTGCTTAGGAATATGAGCTTTGGGGTTATGCCTGGTTTTAAATTCTGGCCGTGCCATTAGGCAAATGCCTTGACCACACAGAGCCAATTGCCTTGTCTGTGAAATGTATAAGGTACTAATCTTGTAAGGACTCTGTAGGTTCTTCTTAGAAGCCACTGAACTATTTCATATAAGGATTCTTGTGTACAGTAAGCCACAGGTTACTTAATCTCTGCTTCCTTATCTGTAATATGTTGAAGATGATAACAATAATAGTACCTACCCCCTAGGGTTGATGGAAGCTGAAATGATTGCATATTAACATTTAGGACAGAGCCTGGAATATATAGGTGCTCAATAATTATAAGCTATGATTGTTATTATTATTATTATTATTATTATTATTATCATTATTATATTTTAGGTCTTACCCTGATGAAATTGGACCAAAGCATTGGCCAGGCTCCCGATTTGCCCATGTGATGAAACTACGGCAGGCAGCCCTTCGAACTGCGAGGGAAAAATGGTCAGACTACATTCTGGTAAAAAAAAGATGTTTGATTTCTTGACAACTCTTATCTAGAATATGTCTAAATCAATTGTCTGAAACTTGAGACTATGGGAGCCATTCAAACAACCTGTTGTTTAAGAACCAACTCCCCCACTTTTTTTTTTTTTTTAAGTAGGCTTCATGCCCAGTGTGGAGCCCAACACAAGGCTTGAACTCAGGACCCTGAGATCAAGAGCTGTCAAGACTTGAGCTGAGATCAAGAGTTGGAGGCTTAATTGACTGAACCACCTAGGAGCCCCTCCTCCACTTTTTAATAAAGACATAGGGGAAAACTTGGGGAACTCCATGTTGGGGTACCTGGATTTCATCTCAAAACTCTCTTGACATGCATTTTCAGTGAGAAAGCAAAAAAACTCCTGGATTATTTGATCTCTTTCATGTAATAGGGATAAGAGACTCTAAATCCTTTCAGTTCATAGGGAATGCTCGAGAAGATTCTTCTTTGTTTTTTAAAGATTTATTCATTTATTTTAAAGAGAGAGTGAGTGAGGGGGCAAAGGGAGAGAATCTTCAAGCAGACTCCCCACTGAGCATGGAACCTGACCTGGAGTCCAATCTCAAGACCCATGAGATTATGACCTGAGCCAAAACTAGGAGTCAAAGGTTTAGCTGACTGAGCCACCCATGCACACCCCTCCCCACCTTTTTAAAAGATTTATTAGGGAAGATACTTAATAACTCTTCAGAAATTTTTTTCAGTTATAAAAAACTAATTCTTTAAAAAAAGATTCAAATTAATAGCTCCAAAAGTCCATTCCCTTTTATTCCTCAATGATTTGGGGGATGTCATCCCTCTATTTTTAAGAGACAATGGATTGTTGCTTACAGTAAATAGCATGTCCATCAGCATGCTTGTGGCCATTCCCTGACCCCCACTTCTCACACAGGTGATGTGGGCTGAGATGGGCGCTCTGCATCCAGTGGTTTTGGTAGCACAGCTGAGGAACCCAGAACTCAGGGCACCCACTGCATTTATAGCAAGCAGTAAGCAAACATGTTCATTCTCTGGGAAAAATATGTGACTTCGTCTTTCAAAGTTACCAGCTTCACAAACAATCCTGAGAAATGGCCCAGTTAAAGGAGGAGTCAGGGCTCTGCAGCCCTGGAAGGGGAATGGCATCTCATGCTTGGCTTCTTGGTTGCTCCTAATTATGTTGGGTTCTTGTGGAGAGTTTCGCTCTGTGGAGAGGTTCCATCACTTTTCTTAGAACTTTGGGAGCAGTCCAGAAAAATGCTGGACTTAATGATAAAAATCAGTGTTATCTTCTGTCCTTGTCCTCTAGGAACCTAACTTACTTGGAAAGGAGGACATCTTCCTAGGCTGCAAGTTGTTACAGTTGCCATTTCCCTTTTTGACAGGTGCTTTTTTCCCCACAATCTTCTGGGAATCAAGTTCTTCATCTGTAGCCCCCAAATCCATTTAATTCTTTTGGTGAGCATTTTCCAGGACAATATTACAAATACTATCAAAGCAAACACAATATGGTTTTATTAGACTTGTCAATATCTGCTCTCCATCACTAAACTCTGATTCCTAAAAGGAATACTTTAGACCTATGTCCATCCCAGCCCATAATCACAATAAAAATCAGCCCAATAATTTGTCACATGCATCTGTTCAATACAAATAATTTCATATACATTTTCAAGTTAATGATATTTAACATTAGGGGTGCCTAGGTGGCTCAGTCATTAAGCATCTGCCTTTGGCTCAGGTCATGTTCCCAGGGTCCTAGGATCGAGCCCCGCTTCAGGCCCCCTGCTCAATGGGAAGCCTGCTACTCCCTCTCCGACTCCTCCTGCCTGTATTCTGTCTCTTGCTTTCTCTCTCTGTGTCAAAATATAAATAAAATCTTTTTTAAAATGACATTTAACATTATAAAGCTGTTTAATTGTCATTAAAGCTTACATATGCTGAGTCCCAAGTTTTTGGGTAAACAGATTGACTATCATAAGAATTTATTATTTGTGTGCGTGTGTGGTAAAATATACATAACACAAAACCTATCATTTTAATTTCTTAAGTGTACAGTTCAGTAGATTATTTATTTTATATAATAGAATCTATTGTTAAACTATCCCTATATAGGAATCAGTGTTAACACTGATTTCTGCTAAAAGAGCAAAAAGTTTCTGCAAAGATAGCTTCTGCTAAGAGAGCAAAAAGTTTCATGGGTTGGTATTACGTACGTTCAACAAAAATTATACTTGTAACATTAAAATGGCATTGATGGATCTGTTTTGGGACATTTTGGCACTCCTATGGACAACCTAAATAAGCCTGTTCATTTGTACCTAGGTTGGGCACTCAATGAGTGTTTTTGGATGATCCTTTAAGAGCTCTTGGGAGCTATCAGTGGTTATTAACCACAACCAAGGTGTGGGTTGAGTGCTGGTTGAGTGTGAACCCGGTATGGTAACATCGAGTTATTGCTTGGTGCCTTAGGCAGAGCTAGACATGTGGACATGAGTCTAAAGATATGTTTTGTCCAAATGAATGCCATCCGGCCTCAACAAGTTTCAATAAGGAGAACATAAATTACTGGTTCCATTTCTCACAGGCAAGTTTCTGTGATCCTTCAGAAGTGCTGGGTTAGTCTTGAACCCAATACTGAAAAGTACTTTTTCACCTGACATTATCCTTTCCTTTTCCTAGTTCATAGATGTGGACAACTTCCTGACTAATCCACAAACCCTCAGTCTGATGATTGCAGAAAACAGAACCATTGTGGCACCCATGCTGGAGTCTCGGGGCCTGTACTCTAATTTCTGGTGCGGAATCACACCTCAGGCAAGTCTTCTGGCTATGGGTTTTAACAAGGAAGCCGTTATGTCAACCATGGCCCCATTGGCCTTTTTGCTCACTTCCTCCCTTGAAACTTGTGTGTCAGGGTGTTACAGGAGTAAGCATGTTCAGGAAAAGAAGGAAATCCATGTCTAATGCATAATCCAATGAGCTCTTTTGTATTAATGAATTTTGAAGAAAATATTCTAATGAACTTACCCTTAGAAGCCTTAACCAGTAAAACTTACTGATACTTGTACTTTTTTCCTCTCCAATTCTGAGATTTTTTTTTTAAAATAGGACTTCTTGGTATTAAAACATAAGAACACTATAGAAAAAGTTGGAAATGGAAAAAAGCAAAAAAAAAAAAAATTTATGTGGCCCATACCACCACTCTAACTTCTTAGATAACAGCATGTTGTTAATAACTATATCATCAAGTGGCTGTAATGCAAATTACTTAACCTTTCTCGGAGTTTGAAATTAGTCAAGTTGTTTGCAACTTTTATCTATTATAATGACCATGATGATTAGTGTACATTTTTCTGTATTTAATATTATGTTCTTAGGATAGTCTCTTACAAGTAGAATTACTGAGTCAAAGAGTATACATATTTTGATGACCTTTGATATATGTTGCCAAATTTATCCCCAAAGATGTCTAAGAATCAGAGCTGCTATGGTAGCTGGTTTTTACAAAATTCAAGTGAAACACAACATTTTTTTACATTTCCATCATCTCTCTTTTCCGTTGTAAAATCTTCAAAGTCTAGAACTCTTACAGTGAATGCTTCGAGGTGATTGTATTTTTAATTCTCTAGTTAATAAGTTAGGTAAACTAAAGAGATAAGCCGATCAAATATGGAATAAAGCTGTGCTAAGGGGGAAAAATGCATGTTAACTGTGTTCTGATGCTCAAAGGGTTAAATTTTGAGTCCCTCTTTTATATTTGGTTTGGTTTTGGATGCAGAATGAGTTGAGGGGTGTGCTGATAAATGTTTGACAACTAGCTCTCTGTTGGGCAAAAACCCTGATTGGTCACATTTGCCGGTTTTGATAGGGTCACTACTCCCACCAGGTGAAACAACTTAAATGTTGTCGAAGTGAGGGGAAGTTAAGTAATTGCAGTGTAGCCACTTGGTGATAGAATGACAAAGAAAATACGCAAAGCTACCGTCTGTGGTATTTTAGAATGGTGGGAATTAACATGATTTTTTTTTAAACAGATTTTAAGCTACCAAAATGTCAACTGGCTTGCAAAATTTCTGAAATTTCTGACAAACAGTAGCTCTAGCCCACTGTGGGACCAGTTATTTCCTGCAGTTCTGAGAGATCGTGAATGTAGGCTCTCCACATCTCTTTTAAGGAGACGTTCAGTTCATATTTATAAAAGACATTCAGTTCCTTGGGGATAGGATGTTTTATTAAGTTCATTTAAATTCATACCCTCTCGGTTAATAATCTTCAGTGTTTCACATGGTAGAATCACTCGAGGGCTGTTTTTAATGAGTTATGCGTTGACACCAGGAAAATGGGTGGATTACCCTCATAACTACAGCCTCTAGGTTTTTATTATCTCCTTATTTGCTTTAATCATTAAAAGCAAACAGGAGAAATGTGCTCACTTATTTTGCACAGTAAAATAGAGAGCAACTTAGGGGCAATTCTAATTTGTTCTATCTTTTTTTTGGCTTTCTACCATCCTTAGTCAGACTTCTGCTAGGGTAGGAACAGAAGCAGCCAATGACTTCATAAGCTAAAGGCCAGCCCTGGTTTCCAGAGACCTTAAACACAGCCAAAACAAAATGACCCTGGTGTTGTCTGGCCAAGAACAGGAATTATTTATTACCAAAACCATTCATTTTTTTGTCAAAAAAAGACACATCTGTCACCTCTGCTGTCTGCAGAAGGGGTATTCATTCTCTCTCTCTTTCTTGCTCTCATTTTCTCTGCTTCCTTCTGCTCACACTCAGGATTTTCAGTGATTTCGTCATGAGTTTTCCAAACTTCTCATTCTGAGAATATTGTTCCTAAGTAGTCTAGAACTTTGTATTTGACATGTATTCTTAGGCAGTCCTTCAAAAAACCAGTGTTGCCTTTATCCCTTTGAAGAATGCTCATGAACTGAAGGATGTTAAGCAATCCTTAAGTTGAAGGCTAATAAAACATTGTAGCCATAATACTACTTCACGTAATGAATTACAGTTATCAAAGGAGCTTCACAGACCTTATCACGTGTGGTCCATTCTGTAATCCCACGAGACAGACCAATGGGCCCTTAATCCCATTTTTCAGGAGACAAAAGTCAGCTCAAAGTGGTTAAACAGGGACTGAGATCAAACAGCTAAAGGAAGGTTAAGATGATTCTAACACTCGCATCTTTCAAATTCTTAATTTGTGATCCTTCTACGTCGTCACATGGTCAGTGTTAGGGTGAGCTCAGCCAGAACAACTACTTAGACCTTGAAGGAAATGTTGCAGAGATAGAAGAGGCTGCCGTGCCTAACGTGTGGGTGCTGACATCTCAGCAGAAAAAGTGACCATAAAATAAGGTGACGATCAATGAATATGGGAGAAGTTCTCTGTCCGTGGATTATTGTGACTCCCTTCAAGGTACTGGCTCACACTCATTCCATGAGCCTCGAACATTTTTGGAAATGCCTTTCAAAGCTTCCACATCCATGTAACAACTTCTCACATATATCATACATCATCACCTTTTCTGGAACAGAGTTGAGCTTTGGCAACAGTCAAGATATAATTGGTGCCACTGGAGTGGAAGCTCCCGTGGACGCCATATTTCATGAGGGCTAAGACCGGGGATGCCTGTTCACTGCTAAGTCTCCAGCATCTAAACACAGTGCCTGGGATCCAGCAAGCGCCCAGTAGATGTTTCTTGAATAAGCAGTTAAGTTTGGGGGGAAACCAAGCTGGGTTTTTCCAAGCCAGCGTGTTCAAAACCACAGAGTGAGGAGGTTGGTTGTCCTGTGTGCTCATCCAGAAAGAACTTTCTAAAGGCGAATCCCCAAAAGAGTGTAGAGCAGGGGCAGCTTCACCAGAATATTGAGTAAGTAGCTGCACGGAAGGACCCTGTTTCTGTGTTTAAGTACTGCATATTTCGTTAAAAATATTAGCCACGTAACGTAGTAATTTTAATATTAGCCAATATTTTTTTGATGCTTTCTGGGTGCTGGGCACTATTCTAAGCGATTTTCAGATTTTACCTTACCGAATTTTTACAGGCAAGCCCATGGAGTAGACGGTGTCATCGTTCCTGGTTTACAGATGAGGAAATAGACACAACAAAGTTGAGTCACCTGACCCGTACCTCCAGACAATAAGCTGCTGAGATAGAATTTGAACTTGGGCAGCCAAACACCAGAACCTGTGCTTTTAACTGCTGTGCCCCACCACCTCTTAATACTTACCCTTCACATTCAATCATACATCCACATAAAATATACTTTCATGAGATCATTAAATCCAGAGATAGGCTGAAACCAAAATTATTTCTGATAACAAGAACCTTGAAGTGTTATTTTCTTTGCAAATAGCATTGCTTGAGCTCTGTTGGAAATTCTTAGGCCCAGATAAGAAGAGAGAAATGACTCTACTTGGGGATTTCTCCTTAACTCTGGTGGTGGCTCGGAAGGAAGGAGCCTAGCGGAAGACTGGGAAAGATGAAGGTTCTCAGATCCGAGAACAAAGCCCACCTATTTCTCTTTTCCAGGGCTTCTATAAACGCACCCCAGACTACCTTCAGATCAGAGAATGGAAGAGGATGGGCTGCTTTCCCGTCCCCATGGTTCACTCCACCTTCCTAATTGACCTCAGGAAGGAAGCCTCTGACAAGCTGGTGTTCTATCCCCCGCACCAGGACTATACCTGGACCTTTGATGACATCATTGTCTTTGCCTTCTCCAGCCGGCAAGCAGGTACTGGTTGTGTTCAGTTGTCCTGTCACCATGGAAACACTGCGAATACCCAGCTCCTTTGTTTTGTGCATCTTCGTATAAAACAGGCCTATATAAACCTTTCCTTTCAGGTAGTATTAGAGACACTTATTTGCAATTCAGGACTATCTGTTGCTGTCCCTGCGAGCACCAATGACCAAGAGCCAGGGCTGGCCCCTCCTCAGAAATCCACTCTCTCTTTTTTTGACTACTGGGGAGACAGTGCTGGTGGCAGCCACCACGAGCAGGTGATTTCTTCTCTGTGATGCTGCTGCGTCATTCTGTTCCCTACAGGAATTTTTAATTATTTAGGAAACTGTGACAGAAGCCCAAAACAACACTGGCAAAGACCCCAGGCTTTAAAAATAGAAGTTCATCTCTTCTTTAAAAAAGTCTGAACTGGCAGAGTGGCTCTGTTCCCCAAAGTTTTCAGAGCCCCTGGCTCCTTCCCTGTTGCTTCTCCATCCTCCAGGAGTATCGCCCCTAACTGGATGACCCAAGACAGCTCATCTCTATGGATGCGTTCTAGCTAGTGAGTGTAAGTTGGAGAGGGAAGGGCACTCTCATTTAAGCACTTGAACGTGTCACTTCCATGCATGTCCCCTTAGCCAGAACTTAGTCACAGGTCAACACATAGCTGGAAGCAGGGCTCAGAATGTGCTTTTGATTCTATGCAGTCTAGAGCCCCAGTTCTTTTACTCTAAAGGAGGAGGGGACAGATCTGCGGAGGTGACCAGCAGTTTCTGCCACAGTCCCCATGGAAGGAAAGGCAGAGCCAGAGTCTTTCACGAACCACTGGGAAACGTTTCCAGTGGGATCGGTAGGCTTTTTGAGGATGACAAGTCAGTAGGAGGGTAAGTCATTTCTCTTGTGTCACCCTGCACATGCCATCAGGGAGGCTTTCATTCACTATGGCAACCCAGCAGGAAGACACACGACATTCCTCAAGCAAGGCTGTATTCTCAAGATCACTGAGACCTTCGACCTTCCTGAGAGAAGTCAGGTCCCACTATCCATGAGCCAGAAAAGTGCCACTTCACCACCAACAAAAGTGAGCTCAGAAACCAGACAGGTGGTGCATAAACTCATGTGGCCATGTACGTTGGGGGGGTTGGGATTAGGATCCCAGGAAACTGAGGCAGGTTGCTGGCAAGTAAGAATGTTGATACCAGCTCAAGCTATAGCGTACGCATCAGGCCGTCTTTAAAGCCATCCGTATCCCACTCATCAGTTGTAGACTTGGTAGGAATGAGAATATTTGGTGGAAATGGGGAAGGCTGATTATTTTCTCTTGGCTGCTACACCCATTTAGGCGCTTGGGACAGGTGTAGGCATTCTTGAACCCTGGGTCAAGGCCAAAGCAGGGTTCCTATCCTCATCTGGATTGGGAGATTTTATGAAGGTTCTTGGGTCAAAGTTAATGGAAACTGCCTTTTTAAAACTCCATCGGTGATTTGCTCTGACTTCTTCAGGATGGGAAGCAGACTTGGGACCGTCTCATTCCCTTGGGTTGTGCCAGTCCCTTTGCTTCCAAGCCTGCAGTAAGGATGTTCCAAGAAAGTGAACTGTTTGCAATTACAGTAATGGCCTTTGCCTAACAGAGCTCTCTTTGATAGTGCATAAGGTATTATTGTGACCCAAGCACTCGATTATTAGGATTTTTTTTTTTAATCAAGAACTGGATTTGGGACTGGAGAGTGACATGGGCTCAGTAGGAATTTTTCAGCTCTGTCCTTTGCTTGGCCTGTTCACTCAAACTTCCTTTTTTATTTATTTATTTTTTGTGTGTGGGTCAGACTCCCATAGGCCTTCCCAGGACATTGGAAACAGGTGGAGAGGCCCAAAGCTATCTGGTGATTCAACAGGGGAGAGAGGAGGTAGAAGAGGAAGGAGAGGGAATCAATACCCTAGGCCTTGCCTTCATGCCTGGCATTGTGTTAGGCTCTGTGTTACTGGGGGAGATAAGGTCTTCACATGTGGAAACCTTGGTAGTAGTTGTGAGGCAGGACAAGCTGAGGGTCACACCGGTGGCATAAACCGTGAACGCATCAGGGTTCAAGCAGGAAAGAATTACTGTCATTTGGGGGAAATGAAAGAGCTTTCCTGACAGTCCTGTGGCTCCAAGGTGGCACTTGAACTTCTCTAGAAGTATTTCCAGGAGAGACAAGAATGAGCCTGGGAGCCCTGTATGGCCCACGGGAGCTTTGGAGATCCAGAGCAAAGCACTCCCCTTCTCCCCTGATGAAAGATGATATTCATTCTCTTATTCTCACTCTGTGAAGCTTCCTAGCTGTATTTCACCCATTAAAGCGTCATTTGTTAGATGTTTGAAAAGCAATCAAGAGCCTGCAGGTACCCAGCAGGACTGTCTAACCGCAGACCTTGATCCTTAACCTTTCACCTCTAACTCCAGTCATCGCCACATGCGGTGGATGAGTGGGAGGGGCAATCCAAGTGTGCTGGTGTGCTGGGGTGTGGCCGCTGATCTAGCCCCAGAGGGGAGCACAGGGGTCATAGACAAGTCTCTGTGGCTATAAGGAAGCCAAAGTCAGGACTTCACTTCCCATTGTGGCCAGGGACGTGGGCTTTGTATCGTGGCCACAGGAGCCATCTCTGGCGCCAGCCAGTCAGTCATCTTCTGAATGTCTGCTATTGAGTCAAAAAAAACAAGAGATGCGGGTGATGGGCAGGCAGATTTGCCTCCCACATGACACTGGTAGTAATCAACGTGCCTCCCACGTGCGAGAATGGCAACTCAGAGTTAGTTCTGGTTCTGAGACTTGGCTTCAGAACCCTGGGCAGATAAGGTCCCCTTACTTGGCTTTGGCTCTTTAGAGACCAAGGTTTCATGCTAATGACTTAACTGTGTGACCTTGGACAAGTCATAGCCCTTCCGAATCTGATTTGTCATCAAATCAATTAAAAATTAGCATATCAATTTGCTGTGTTAAGGTACTATGTGAGCACAAGAAAATGTGTGATATTTTCACAAGACAAGTACAGAGCTTTGAGGTATAGTTTCATTTATCGTTCTTTTCCGAAGGGACAGAAAATTTTCTCCAGTAGTAGCTTTCACTGAGAGTACCAGATTCCTTCATAGACTTTAACTAATGATCAACACATTTCCTTTTAAAATGTTTATGGTTTTATCAAGTTACCCATGTATGTAGTTGAAAGAGTTCAAAGAGTGTTCTAAGATTTATTATAAAATTAGAAGTCCTCTACACATTACCCCCCCGTACCAACATTTCCCTCTTCTAGAAGACAGACACCTAACTCTAATAGATGGTAGTAGATGTGTAGTATTATATCCGTGTTTCTAAATAATGTGCTCATGTTGCCACTTCTCGATTCTCTGATTTTGCTTGAGGCATTATGGATTGACTGACTGTCCACTATGGAAGGTGAGGAGTTAGCTCTCTATCCTCCCTGTGCCCCCTCAGTGCAAACACATTCTCCCCTGCCCTCTTGATAGAATTATATGGTGATTTAAGATAGATCATGGCCAGTGTTTTTGTTGTTAGAGTTATGTAATGAACACTAGGCGTCATAAGCAACTAATGAATCATTGAACTCTGCATCACAAACTAATGATGTACTATATGTTGGCTAATTGAATTTAAATTTAAAAATGTTTTTAATTAAAAAAGAAAAAATAATAGAGTGATGCAAACCTAATTCCAAGCTGAGCCACTTATAGACTATGTTAATTTTCCTTTCATCTTTAAATTTAAAATGGCCTTTTTGGTTTTTGCTTAGTTTTATTATTCCTTATACAATCTAAAACTAAGCTCTAATTGTCTAAAACCTCTCTTAGAATGGTCCGATTTTTCAGATGTTCTTTTTGCATGATTGTGAAGATGTCTCTCCTGGAGCCTTCCAATGTGCTCGCATCTGAGTGGTACCACACCTACTGACCCCAACCCCCGACACCCTTCTCCTCCCTCCCACAGGGACGCTCCTGTCAATTATGTCTCAGGTCTTCCTTGTTTTCTGTGATCCACTCCCTCCTCTTCTCCTCCTCTTTACTCCTCCCCCCCTTCTCTTTTTCCCGCATCATCCAGTCGCTTTCTGAGAAAGTGCGATAGTAAATAATACGTATAACCTTGCCGGTGTGAAAATAACTTTCTTGTCCCTCCACATTTGATGGACAGCTTCTCTAGGTCTCCTTTCCTTTTTTACTGAAGCTTTGGAAAGGTGAATGGTAAAATGAGTCACCTAATTAGGATCGAGAGGCAACTGAAACATGAAATCACTTTCCTTCCATTTCCTGATCTCATCATAACTTTGCAAGAGGCTACATTTGGGTTTGAAGCGCCTCAGAAGCGTTTGCGTGGGCAAACAGCAGAATTAGTGAGTTCACTTGGAGAAGCAAGAGAAGCAACCGTGCATCTTGGACCAGCCCTGATTTGAGCCAGGTTCAGTAAAGAGGAGGATAAAGGCCCTTTTCTTTCCCCCATTCTTCTCTGTTAATGCCGTGAGACAGCTTCACCTGATTTGGCAGGTGATAGAACTGACTGGAGGAAATTTCATCTGCACAACATAGAGAAGTCACTATGCAGGTAATTCTGTGTCTGGAAAGCATAGATGATTACAGCAATTAACCAGTCCGAAGCTTGGACCCATGGACCAGAGCTTGGCAGACTCATCCTTTGAATTAAGCAATCTTTTCATTAGGCAGGACTGTCAATTGTTGGGTCTCTATGAGACCATCTTGATTCCTATATTCCCAGCTGTCTGGTTAAACAGAGGTGCTAGCAGCTCTTGGAGTTAACCATATGGGGCCTGGAGACCCAGTGTTGAATACAACGGGGCTGGTGCATATTTCTGGTATTGCTACACTGCGGATCCTTACCAGGACTTGAAATGCAGACTTTTGTCCCTTTATGAATCTGTTATACAAGTTTCACATCTCTTGGTTGACTCCCAATCCATGCCTGCTAAGAGAAGAAATAAAACCATAGAGACGCCATGGAGAATTCTAAATTTCCTTTGTTTTTTGTTCTTCATATGCCTAGATTAAGCTTTAATAATCTGTCAGCCTCACAGGATCTTCCTGTTGGCTTTCATATCAAATGTGGATTTTATTCCTCATTTTCTTGTTATTTCCTGTAGGCGGATTACAGTGTTCCATTCTGTTCTCTGGAATGGGAATTCCTTGCCTCCTTTGATCCCTTCATGCCTTTCGTGTTCATTTTCAGATCACGGGTATGCTTTTTCTTCAGAGAGAAAAAAATCAATTTCCTCTGAGCTGAAGAATGGCCCATGGTTTTTATTAGCCCCCAATGCTGTGTTAAATTTTCTTAATAAAGAGCATTTTTGAGGTCTACAGACAGTGTCTGAACAACTACTGTTCAGTTTCAGTGCCAAACTCAGCTTCAGCCACAGTCTAAGGATTTTGGGGTCTCTGTGTGTGTGTGTGTGTGTGTGTGTGTGTGTATGTGTGTGTTTCCCCTTAGTTATCTCTAGAGAACTAAGAACTGTGTTTTCTGATTGGTTGCTTTTTTGCTGTCTTGGGTCCTCAGGCATCCAGATGTACGTCTGCAACCGAGAGCACTACGGCTACCTGCCCATCCCCCTGAAGCCCCATCAGACCTTGCAGGAGGACATTGAGAACCTCATCCACGTGCAGATAGAGGCGATGAGTGAGTGACCCAAGAACCTGGTGGATGCCTCTTGTTCCCTTGCCACTGTGACCATACCAGCCCTTCTTCCCCTCCCCCAGGACTGAGATCTCACAGCCATCAGTCTGCCTTGGCTGAAACATTCACTGGTTCATTCGTTCTTAAACTTCTCCTGTGTGACATATGAATAGGACAAGGTCTGCCCTCGGCAAGCTTCCGATCCAGGTGGCGAAGCTGGGCACACAGGAAATACATCTCACACAAGGTCATAAGAGCTAGAATGGTGTTTTGTCACGTGGATCCGAACTCTAAACTTTTGCTGCTTTCTAATTATATGGCTTTGGAAAAGCAACCTAACCTCCTTAGTTGTGAAATGGAGATAAAGCCTTAGGGCTTGGGAGCAAATTCTCCATGATATATATAAAAAGTCCAATAACAATAATTATGACTTGAACTTAGTAATAGCTTATCGTGTAACAGATACTAGGCAAGCATTTTTTTGTCTGTAGTCTCATTAATCCTTACAACACTCAATGAAAGGGTTTTTATTATCCCCATTTCACAGATGACAAAATGGAGGTAGAGAGAGGGTCAGCAACTTGCCCTAGATCACTTTGCTAAACAAACAATGAATTGAGACTTGAAACAATCTTGCTACCTGCAAAGCTCATGTCCTTTATCGCTTCTGGGTCTAGCATGATGTCAGAATCGGTAAATGCTCAATTACCGGTTGCTGTACTAATTAGGATGTAGAATGTGCTGTGTGGCTAAAGCAGAAGGTAATGGATAAACTCTGCCTAGGGGAGGATGTTCAAATGGATTCCTAGAGGACGGAATATTTGCATTTCTTTTTCACGTAACATGTGAGAAATTCCATTATTCATCATGGGAGTATAGGATGTGGTGGGGAGGGGCAGTGGGGATGGTTGGGGAGGCACAGCAGGAAGTGAGGCTGGAAAGTGGGCAGGAACCCAGCCAGAAGGACCTCTAATGTATAAGAAGGTGTTTGGACTTTTCCTGAAAGGAGGGGAACTCTTAAAGACATTTTTTAGCAGAGAATGTCTGATTGAAATCTGAACTTAGGTCTCTCTCATGGTAAGAGAAGTATGGCTGGAGTAGGGTGGGACGGGGATGCCTGGTCTCAGGCCAGGGGTGAAGAGATCATTTTGAACATTACATGGTAAAGTAGGCGATACATGGTAAGGATCCAAGCTAGGGTAGGACCAGGGGGAATGGAGAGGAAGGAAGAGATTAAGGGAACCGTAAGATGTAGGCTTGAAGGGACTCAGCCACAGTCTATGGCTGAGCAAAAGGGAAGCAGAGAAAAGTTTCAAAGTTCTGACTTGAATGCTTTGGGATCGCTGTGGGAGTTTTAAATGGTATAGAGCTTGTAGAATAAAGGAGAAAACCCATGAGTTCATTTTTAGACCCACTGAGTTGCTTGTGAATATCTATTTCCTGCTTCCCAGCTTCAGACAGTAAATGCCTTGTTGATCATATTTGTCTCAAGGTATAGTCCTTTGCCTATCACCTAGTAGGCACCCAGTAAATATTTGTTGAATAATTGAATGAATGAATGAGTTTAGGTTGAAATGTCCAGTGGAGAGATGAATCTATCAAGCCTAAAGACGTTGAGTTGAGATTCATGCACAAGATCATGCGACATCCCAGAATTTCAATAAAATAGGAGTATGAGATGTGGAAGGAAGTTCAAGTAAGAGAAATACTGAGAAGTCCAGTGGATTTTTTTCAGCTAATGCCCGTAATGAGGATGATTTTGAAAAGGCTGAATGAGAATTCAGAGTGTTTGAGAAGTAACTAAGAAGCAAGAAAATAGAGAAGAAACACAGTTTTTTGTTGTTGTTGTTGTTGTTTTTAAGAAACATGGTTGGGACCTGAAGGTAATAAAGACAATAACAATTTAAAAGATTCATAAGAGTCCTTTAGATAACAGGCTCTTTTACTGTATTTACATAAGCTTCTGTTTGCAAAACATCGGTCAGCTCAGTGTACCTGGAGCACATCAGTGGTGCTGAGCAAAGTGCGTCCATAGACTACACTTGGAATGAGGAGGGCAGAGCTCCTGCCATCACAACCTTTGCATGCTGGTGTGCACTGTAGCTTGTAAGCCATCCAGTCTCTCCTCATCTCAGTGTCCCTGGGTTTGAAAAAAGCAACAAGGAACACTACTGTTCTCAAATATAGAGAAAATAATAGGAATAATGAACAACAATGACAGAAAAAAATCCAGCCTTCATGGGGGGGAATAGAATTGAATAGGGAGCTGCTTCATTGTGACAGTATTTCTTGAACAAGCCTTTAGCAATTTTTTTGTGTGAATTTCTTTAATACGTACTGTTTCTGCCTGTTGTCTGTGTTCTAGACAAGGGCAGTATCTTACTGCCTTTTATCCCAATCACCTAGCCCAGTGCATGATATATGGTTGGTATTAAACAACTTGTTGCTGAATGGATGACCAAACCACTGAAAGAACGAACAGGAAATGCATGAAAACTGTATTGCAAAGAGCACTGAACCCGATTCCAAAATAATGAATTTCAAACTAAGCTCTGTCCCTTAGGAAGGGAGAATTCACCTCCCGGAGCTTTGGTTATTTTATCCGTAGAGTAAAGATAATAGCACTTACTTTGCAGGGTTGGGAGAGGCAAATAAAATAATGGACATCAACTCCATAAAACATTGAAATGTGATTATTAGTTCTCAGTTTGACCTTTGGTTATGGACGGCCCCTTATCACCCCTGTTTCATGGCCATCAGACTTGACTCCAAGTAGATGTCAGCTCAGAGAGGACCAGTGAGATCCTTGCCTTCTCTTGTTTTTCCCCATAGAACTGAGAGCACAGAAGCTTCCCTGTATGTAGAAGCACACACATTGTCAATAAAGTTTTTAATTATTATAAATTACAAATATGCACAACACCATGCTATGTAAGTAGAATTCATCTGAGAAGAATCTGTAATATATAGCTCTCATTATTGACCTCCCAAACCATACCAACTCTAGTACCAGGCACTTTATATATGGCATTTTATTTAATTCTTATATTTACCTTCTTCAGTTATAATTTTGTTAACATTTCAGATTCTGAATTTTAAAAAGTAGAACATAATTGGAGTAAGAAAAATGATCAGAAAAACAAACCTTCGAGGGTAATAATGCAGAAATATAGACTAGAGGGCACTGTAGGATTAAGAAAAAGATTAATGATGAAATCATATCTGTCAAGTGTCCTCAGGAAAGATGATCCAGATGTTAAAAGCATTTTGCACAACATCTGGAATCCAATGGGCATTAAAGAAGTGGCTGCTAATAGACTATACCAATTTCAGCATTAGAACAAGAATTATATTTATGTACAAACATTGAATGCCTTCCTATGATCTATGAGTCACTCTATGAAGGTACTGGGGATTCAAAACATTTTACAACCATTCTCTGTTTTGGGTGTAGATATTTAACTGAAGACATAGGACAACCATTAAAAGATCCCAATAGTGGAGTATAGTGCTTTGTAAGCACATATAAGAGTAGTTGGAATTTGGAATAGGGAGAAATTGCTGTGGGCAGGTGTGTTCTAAGAGTCCACAAAGCCCTGGTGTTTCTCAGACTGGGCTTTGCTAGAAGTTTAAACAGAAGAAGTGGTACAGTGAGGGCACTATAGGCAGAGGAAACAGACCGAGCAAAGATAGCATCCAGAAAGCATTTTCACCCTCGAAGAGGGCTGGCTTTGAACAGTAGAAGTAAATAAAATTTGAGGGTTGGGGTGACTTAATTGTTGTGGCCCTTGAACTACCCACCTAAGGCAGAATGTTCATTCTGAAAGCAGTAGAAGACAGGTAATATTTTAGAAGAGAGAGTGGGGCTGTAAGTACTGATTAAACACTTAACTATATTCCATGCATTGTTCAAGATGCTGGAGATATAGCAGTTAGCAAAATCAGCAGAAACTTCACCATCAGTGAATTTATATTCCAACACAAAGAGATAGACAATCTATCAGGGGAGCAGCCACATGAATATTTGGGGGAAGAGTGTTCCAAGCAGAAAGAACTACAGGGGTACCTGGGTGGCTCAGTCATTTAAGCATCTGACTCTTGATCTCAGCTCAGATCTTGATTTCAGGGTCATGAGTTCAAGACCTGTGTTGGGCTTGACACTGGTCATGGAGCCTACTTAAAACAAAACAAAACTAAACTAAACAACAACAAAAAGTTCCAAAAAAACTATAAAGGCTATTAGGAGAGCTTGTGATGCTCCAAAAACAACAGGCCAGTGTGGTCAGAGTACAGAGGAGTTGAGTAGAAGGAGATGAGGTCATGAAGGAAGAAGTGTCTGGATCAGACAGACAGAGCCTTGTGACCACAGCTAGGAATTTAGATTTTATTTTAAAAGTAATGGGATAGTGTGTTGGGATGGGGTGGAGAGAGTGGCATAATGTTATATATGCATATAGAAAAATCACTCAGTTGGTGGTGCGGACATTTAAGTATAGGAGGAGTTGTACCTCTCTCTTGGTAAGAGAAAATGGTGGTTGGGGTGCAAGTTGTGGCAGGGAGGTGATGAGAAGCAGGTGGAGTTAGGATATATTTTGTTGTGGAGCCAACAGGACTTACAGAGACCTGGATGCAGCCAACAAAGGAAAGGAAGGAATCCAGATGACACCAGGATTTTGTCCTGGCATACCCTTTAATGAAATGGGAAAAGATGTGGGGAGGGAAGTTTTGGTCATGTAAACTTATGATATTTTTAAAACATCTCAGTGAAAAAGTTAAGAGATACTTGGATATGACTGTGGAGTTCAGGGAAGATACTCCAGCTCAAGACAGACATTTGAAAGTCATTAGCATTAAAAGGATATTTGAAGTCATGGAACAGTGCGAACTTGTTTAGTAAAAGATCATAGAAAGGGAAGAGGGGAGGGAATAGGACAGATCCCTGGGGGAGACAAACAGCCAAAAATCTGGAAGGAACGATTGAGAAATGTCTCAGGAAGGAGCCA